TAACCACTTTAAGGCTTTTCAATGTTCAGGACCTGGATTAGACATGTACCTACTAAAAGTACTAATAACAAAAGCTAAATCTGGTCTGGTGCAAATCATCAAATACACCACCTATAGGTAGTTTTAAACAAGTTTCTTTTGAAGTAGATACCTGAATCTATCAATGGATGACAGGGAACTTCCAAGAGATGGAATAAGACTGTCTTTCTCACTGGAATTTCTTTTTTTATACTTCTTACTATTAGATAGTGTCCATAAATCTTATGGAACCAATAACATTAGAATACGGAATTCCACTTATGTATTCTACTTCACGTTCATTACAAGGAGCTTGTTTTTTAGATAACGCAAAGTAATTAGCTAGACGCAATGTGACAGTTTTGTAATCATTCATATCAAATTTCTTCAACATCTTAGAAATATATGGAAACTGATGCAAAAACAAAGTAGAATTTGACCTATCTCTTTCGATTCCATGCCTATAATTCTCTTAACCTTACCTAGGTCTTTTATGTCAAATTCACCACTTAACTTTGTTTTATGTTGTTTATCCACTTAGGTGATAAACTAATCAAAAACATGTCGTCCACATAAATCAACAAAAACAAAAAATTGTTATCAATCTCATTGTGTTGAAAATATAGATAGTGATCAAATTTATTTCTTTGGAACCTAAAGTGAGTACAAAAGAGTCAAATATCTTGTACTACTATCTAGGTAACTATTTTAAACCATACAATGAACTTTTAAGAAAATAAACATGATCAGATTTTAGCTTATCCTTAAAATCTTTTGCTTGATTCACAAAGATTTGTTTGCCAAACTCACCATGTAAAAAAGCAATTTTTACATCAAGTTATTCAAGTTCCTAGTCAAAATGCTCAACCAATGCAACCATAACCCTAAATAGTATACTTAACAACTAGTGAGAAAATCTCATTATAATCAATACACCCATTCTGTGTGTATCTCTTGCTACTAACTTAACCTTAAATTTTAAGGGTTCCGACCTACTGGTACCTTCCTTAACCTTAAAGGCCCATTTGCAATCGACGATCGATTTACTCATAGGTATAGGTACTAGCTCCTATGTCTGATTCTTCTATATAGAACTCATATCCTCTTTCATTGCCTTACACCACTCTTTGAATTGTTCACTCTTCATCACTTCGTCAAAGGTTTTTGGCTCTCTATCAACTAATTCTTCATAACTAGCATGGCGAAAGCTAACTCAAATTCATATTCGAATCTCCTAGGTTATCTCATTTGTCTCCTCTCTCTCTATCCCTAACTAAGTCGTAGTTGGTCAAGGGATTATCTTCCTCAGTGTGCTCTTCGGTCACTACTTCATGTCTATTCTCCACCGCAAGTTCCTGAACCTGAGTCTCCACCTCATTTCGAATGGTAGGGACAGATGTGCTAAGTTTTCCTAATTCTACTTTAAACCGATCTCTCTCTCTATCTGGTTCAATTTCGCTTATAGGTTCGGGTACACCCTTAAGGCAAGGCTTCTCACATTCATTAAATATGATATCTCGACTCACAATAATCTTAACTCCCTTTTGACTTCTATCCCATAACCTATAACCCTTAACACCCTCAAGGTATCCTAGAAAACACACTTTCTAACTCTAGGTTCAAGGTTTCCCTCACTCTAATTGGAAAAAGTAGCACAGCTAAAGATTCTAAGTATAGAGTAGTCACTCAACTTACTAGACCACCTTTAATGGGGATTATCACTGTTTAAAGCAGCAGATGGAGTCAAATTAATCAAATAACAATAGTCATAACAACTTCGCCCCAAAACGACTTTGGGATACCAAAACTTAACATCGTGTAATGCACTTTATCAAGTATGGTTCTATTCGTCTTTTCTGCTACCCCGTTTTGCTGGGAAGTGTAAGGAATAGCCTTCTGCTTTGTTATTTCATTTTCTTTACACATTGTAAAATCCAGTGTTACAAAACTTTAGGCCATTATCTGTCCTTAAAAATTGAATCCTTTTGCCAATTTGGTTTTTCAATTGTCTTCCAGTTATTAAAGTTGTGGAAATGTCATATTTATCCTTCAAAAGATAAACCCACACTTTCTTATTGTAGTCATCAATAATAGACAAGAAGTACTTATTCCCACCCAATGTGGGATTATTAGTAAGACCCCACAGATCAGAATGCACATATTCAAGCATACCTTTAGCTTTATGAATACTAGTGGAGAAAGATGTTTTATGATGTTTACCAAACACACAGTGATGACAAAATGACAAATCAGTCACACAGTCATTACCAAATGCACATTTTTCATTAAGAAGTTTAAGTCTCTTAATGCCTACATGTGTAAGCCTATTATGTCATGTATGTATGTGATCAACCATGGCATAAGAGATAGAGGAGTTTAAACTTTTAATCACTTCTCCAGTAGTGATGTAAATGTCATTTTTCTTAGTTCCCTTGATAAAGACTAATGCACCCTTAATCATTCTTAACATTCCATTTTCAATTTTACCAGTGAAGTTGTCTTTTTCAAGTCTTCATACTGAAATCAAATTCCTAGACAGTTCAGGAATATATCTAACGTCTTTCAAAGTGTACATAAAACTAGTGTCAAACTTTATATTAATGTCACCAATTTCGGCAATTGTATAGGCAAAATTATTACACAGCACATCATACCTAGTATTAGATTCATGCAAGTTTTTAAACCAATTCTTTTCAGATGCCACGTGAAAAGATACATCAGAATCAAGTATCCGCTCATGCGTGCTGAAATTAGTAGGTAAATTCAGTTCAGCAGTATACGCAATGGGACACGTAATCATATAAACCTCACCGTCATCTATATCAGAAGCAGATGATAACACATTGACCTCATCTCTCTCCTTGACCTTTAGCTTACCCTTCTCCTTTTACAATCTTTCATAAAATGCCCTATGCTCTCACAGCCATAGCATTTTCTAACCATCATTCTAGACTTTAATCTAGACCTACCTTTGCTCTTCTTCTTCCATCCATTACTACCTGATTCGCCACTACTATGGTATTCATATGACCGTTTTGCCTAAACTAAGTTCTACCCTGCATCATATATAACTCATCGCTTATCATGTTTTTTAGCTTTAATTTTCGTCTCCTTACTTCTAAGAGAATCCATGACAATTTCAAGCGTCAAAGTGTCCCTACCATACTTAATTTCATTTTAAACTTCTTTGTATGAGTTAGGCATAGAGTTAAGCAAAATTATGGCCTTAAAGGTTTAAGACACAGCGTCGTCACAGTCAACAATATCTTGCACTAATTTGTTCAAGTAGGAAAAGTTTGTTCAGTGTAGATTTGATCAAATACAGATCTTCCAATTTTTTCCAAAGTTCATTGGTGGTTTTCAATTTATCCACCTTTCTCAAACGGCGTCAGACAAGTGTAAAATAATTGTGTATAAGCAAGCCCATCCACTTCTTCCTTTTGTTCTTTTGAAAAATCAGTTGGAAAATTACCTTCAACGATTTTTGAAGCTTTTTGTTAAACCAAAATGCCCTTTATTTTTTTGTAGTCAGATTGAAAAATTACATTTTCTGTTAAAAATCCCCAAATCGAAGTTGTGAATTGTCATTATCACCGATAGGCAAAAATGTACAAACACACAATCAAACCACACAAAGTAGTCTTATGATTATAGACAATATACTCCGTTCCAAATTTTCAGGGTTTCGTAAGACTCGTGATTTTAGATCAAGGAAATGCTCAAACGGGTAGGATCTCAGTGTTCTAACGGAATTAATAAGCAGTGAAAATAGCAATGCAACAAAAATAGATATGTCTAACATATACCAAGTTTCATGACAATTATAGCACACAGAACAGTACTCTAATTTAAGAAGAACAAGTATTCAATCCAACAATTAAGAGCAAGTAATCCTAATTTCTAACACAAGCAATGTTATCCATTCATGGTAACCACTACCCTACTGTAACCCCCACACAGTGACACCATAATGTTGAAAATTAATTGGGTTAAGCCAATTTACCTGAGCGGACCTATCTAAATCCGTAAAGTCGAGAGATGCGAATTTGTTGCTTTTGGGCCACTATTATTCACCCTTAAGATTCAGCAAATATACCAATGCCAATCAACCATAAAAGTAGATTGATATCCAGAGGCAAATCGTCCAAATTTTCTTGCGTAACCTAAAACACTAAAAAAACCACACTAGTACGTTCAGGAGATTAAAAATTAGTACTTTGCTCCAAAAAATCTCGTTGAAAAATCGTCGCACACGTCGTCGCCGTCGCCACCACGTATCACTTCACAAGGGGCGTCTCGGCCTGCTGATTGTGGATCTGACCTTCGTTTGTCCAACTAAGGTCGCATTTGAGAGTAATTAAAGATTTTATATCCAGTTTCTTTGAAGGATTTGACCATTTCTCTCAATTGTTGGCCGAACTTTGGCTAAATCTCCACCATCTAAGCTCTGATACCAGATTTAAAGTATGTATTAACCAACAAGGTTTAGCCAGGCTCAGCCTATTCATCTAATTGCACCACAATCAAATAACCTATTGACCCAAATTAAACCAAGCCTTCCACTTTCGATTGCCAAGAGCTTACACACGTAGGAGACCATAAAGGCAAGTAATAACTCAATGATAATCACCGCAAAGGTACAAGTGAAGGAAGAAAGCGAAGGGCAGAGAAGTAGAAAAAGCAGAAGGTCGAAAATCTCATATAGAGAATAAGAGAGGCACACGATCACTTTGACAAAGGATAGAGGACAGAATATATCCAACTAATGAGCCCAAGTAAGGTAAGTTACAATAGGGTTACTAATGGGTCAAGTAAAGGACCAAACAATAGATAAATGGGCTACCAAGTGAACAATTCTTATTTTGGCCACCCAAAAAAGTGGGTTAGACCATGAGCAACACTAAAATATTTAAGTTACTTCAAAAAGCCTGATTAACTTTTGGGTCAAGTCGTCTTGATTGTAGTACTATATTTTCCATTTAGTCATTAGCCAAAGCAGATTGTGAATTAAACCGAATAACATCATAGTCCTAGGAGGTCGTTTGACAACAAATTCCCAAACAGAACGTTTGCTTAACTGCTGTGACGTTATTTAAATATGGATCCGCTACCACTCGATTTGAAACAGTGAAAAAATGTCTCTGCTCATTTGTTGAATTGCAATTGGCACAAAACACTAGAGGATTTCTTTGCAATAATATAGGAGTTCTTTACAATACCCGTAGCAGGGGATTTCCTTGCAATAGCACTACCATCCTCAGAATTGAAGAAAAAAACTGTTCCCAAAGCCTTTATTCAATGCGTCTTTAGTCTCAGCACAATCCCTATTGTAGCTTTCTTTTTCAAGTCGTCTATTGAAAACTGTTTGGAAGATTGCCGGATTGATTCTTCAACAATTGGATGAGCATTGGTTCCTGCATTCATTCCAATCTCAGTAGTAGCAGCTGTCAAGTTTGCGCGCACATAGAAATGTACTTCGTAACTTGGACATTTGCCTGTCCAACATTGTTTAAAGCTCTACTACCAACATATATATGATTTAAAAGATATTGCAAACATACAGAAACTGTTTCCCAAAGCATTTATTCGATTCGTCATTAGTCTCAGCACGATCTCTATTGCGGCTTTCTTTTTCAATCTTCTATTGGAAACTGCTTGGAAGATTGCGGGATTAATTCTTCAACAATTGGATGAGCATCGGTTTCTGTATGCATTCCAATGTCAGTAGTAGCAGCTATCAAGTTTGCGCGCACACAGAAATGTACTTTGCAACTTGTGCATTTTCCTGTCCAACATCGTATAATGCTCTACTACCAACATATATATGATTTAAAAGATATTGCAAGCATTTTCTTTAAATGATCAGACATATAAGTATATGATTTAGAGGGTAGCAAATTCGATATGCTAATGAAAAAGATGAGAATATATTAGGATATTTAAATCCCTAAAAAATATGAATTAACTGTCAATTGAAGATGACTGTATCTGCAGCCAAAAATAATATATTAAGCTCTGTTGCTTTAATTCAGTTCCATCCCTCGGATTTCAACAAAGTCTCATCTTTTTCATTACCTCTTAAACACCAAGTCTCGTCACTTAATAATCACCATTACCCTTTATATACTGTGAAGTACATACAACACTGCTTATAATTTCAAAAAGCATCACCAAACAAAGCGTACAATAAGTGGCTCGTCTAAAAATCATATAAAAGCTCGAACTGGTTGAATTTGTTCGGTTAAATCTTTCTTTCCTTTCACAGCCTGACTTGACATAAAATGTAACACGAGTTTGTGCATTAGTCACATATTAAAGTGATTTCAATAATGTCGAAGGAATAGTAAAATATTGATGTTTACATTTACTTTGCTTGTGTTTTTCCTGACGTATTTTACTTGATCATTATCTTTAGCAGCTTGATGGCGGTAGAAGCAGACAAAGGATAAGATATTCGAAAATTTACAAATTAGAACCAGAACTTGAATGCAATGATCAGTTGGAGTTTTCTCATGCAAAGTCATGCCTTGGATACTTGACACTCGTGTTAGCAATCAACTGGTAGTTGAATTAGAAGATATCGAGCCAACATACGCCTAGCTAGATTGAAATTAGAGTTGAAAATCCAATTTCTAATATCCTTGCCCAACATCTGATAGCTTATCGCAGTCAGTTTATGAATTCATTTTACCAGTACCGGAGTTGAGCAAATTAATTAAGTTCATGTAGTGTCAAAAGTCTGCATAGAAAAGATACATGAAATCTGTTATTATTCCTTACAATACGCAAAGAAAACTGATAATTAGGTGAGATTTTGGAGTTTTTCTAGTCTCTCTTGTCTGCATAGAAAAGATACATGAAATCTGTTATTATTCCTTACAATACGCAAAGAAAACTGATAATTAGGTGAGATTTTGGAGTTTTTCTAGTCTCTCTTAGTATTTTTTTAGAGTTCTGGATTTGTAATGAGCAATAAAATTGTTCTCATTACTACTTGTAAACTTAAGAGAAGTTGCACTTTATAATGTTTTGCAAATGGTAATGTCATTTGATTGTATTCATGTTGTGCAGTATACATTTATTTCTTGCTGTATTTTCTGCACTTAGTTGACTATAGTTATCCTCAAACATCTGATCAGGGGAAGGAAAAGTAAATTAATACTCTGCTCTAAGATCTGATTGTGAAAGTTCAAATTAGCCTTAACCCAATGTGCAGAATTACACTGTTAAAAAAACAAGTCACTTTTTAATTGTTTCTAGTTGGTTAATTAAACAAGTCAAATTGAATTATCGCAAATATCAATATGAAAGTAATAAAGAACACCAAATATGTTGACAGAGAAAATCCAACTAGGCAAAGACTTCAAGATTAAGCCAATAACATCCACTATAGATAATAATGAACTTACAGTACGATCCAACCTTTAGAATTGTCGAGATCCCACTAGACTTGTTGATCTACTTCGTGCAATTTCCAAGACCCATTGAAATGTGCTTAACTCACACATATTCTTGATCTTTTAGAATTGTATATCTCTGGTGGATCATGAAAAACTCCTTGTTCTTGTATTCTTCCTATGCTTCTGGTCGAACTTTTCTCAATTTTTTAGTAACCTCAAAAAGCTATTGAGAAAGTACCTTCTTGTATGAGTATAGAAAGTGGGTGTTTTGGATTATATGGATTTGATATTTTCCCTAAAGATGTGGTTGTATGAACTAAAGAATCAATGGATTAATCTAAGGTTGTCATGTTATAAAGGAGAAATATAATGAAACAAAACTAAGCCAGCCCGAAAAATCACTCCAATTCTATATCACTTGATTTCCAGAGTATAAGGGTGTAATGAATTTGATTTTGATTCATGGATTACTTAAGCCGTAGATGAGCAAGAGAACTGGGTAAATTATGCATCATTCTATTCACACTACTACTACTTTGTGATCCCTACTGTGGGCTCTAAAATCATGCATCAGCTTGTGCCCAGTCACATTTGCATTTATTACAATGAAATATTTACAAAGCTTCCAATTAAAATATTTATGTGGCATGACTCAAACTTCCTCTTAGGAATTTTATTTTTATGTCAATAAGCAAGAAATGACCAATCAAAATCCCAATTGCTGGGGGTGGAGTGTGGCAGCAAATTACCACATCAACAGCCCCCTTTTTTCACTCATATCAAGACCTATACAAATATGCTCATTTTAACCTGATCTGAGCATCCAGCGTTACAAGAACTACTAAATTGATGGTGGTTGATAACCTACAGTCAAAATTCCAATTGCTGAAAAAGACGATCATCTTGTGCTAAAGAACCCATAAAGTTTCAGCCATGTTGTTTGTGATTTCAAATTAGTTTGTCGTCCAAATTAGAAACTAAAGATTCTGGTGTATTCAATTTATGCTGCTGGGACCACAAACCTTGAATACTATAAATAGATCCAAAATCAGAAATTAGTGTTAGCTTTTTGCAATCGCTTGAGATATTGGCATCTGTTGCCATCGTTGGAGAAAATGGACAAAATTTATCAGTTCTCTTTGGTTCCTTTTTGAAGGGAAGACCTGTAAACAAATTTCATCTATTGCCACATGCATCAATGAGAAAAGGAAATGTGGCATTGTTTACATATTGCCTTCAATCTGAAGTAAGAAGCATCTCGTAAACTACAATCTCCAACTACATACACAGGACCGCCTCCAATGAAGGCATACATGTTTCCGTGCAATACAAGTCAGCTGGAAAATTAACATGAAAATGTACAAGCATGACTAAAGGAAACAATAGGTGAAAGACATAAATTACCTGATATAGCAGGAGTGAGAATTCCATCCCCAACAACCATGCAAGTGCCAACAAGTACTAGTATAAGAAGGGCATTCTTTCTAAATGTATTCGCCTCCAGCCATCTCTTGGTTTTAGCCGCAAATGAAAGCTCGTGGAATGTGCTACGGCTGTAAGTTGTCAGCTCCTCATCTGTGCGGTGTTGGTTGGGGATTGTTTTGACTTTGGCATGTCGACAAAGTAATGAATAAAGTGCAAAGGTGCCACCTGAATAATATCCAAAGTGTCAATTTTGTTTTCTTTTTCATCTTTCTATATGCACACCCAGAGACAAAAACGAGTGAAATTTGGAATAATAATTAGACCTCTCAGTCAAACTAATCCAAACTCAGTTTCTTTGACTTTTCAATTACTCTCCAATTTATCTCAACATACATTGTCATCATTTTCAGGGTACTCTTACCGAAGAATATTAACCCCCCGACTTCTAGTTTTTTAAGAAGATAATTAAATCCCTGATTTATTTTTAAGTCATTCAGAAAGGCTAACTGAATCAACTTAACAGCTTCTCACAATTTTATACTCAACCGAGTCATATGACCAATACCAAAATTTGTAGGATGAATATATTGCTTAGAACATGCCGGTGTTTCCCTTTTAGTACCTTATCTTTGAAAGGTAAGGCTAATAAATGTGATTATAATGTTAATGAAATGATGCATCCCCAATTTCTACTAATTTATTAGCCTCCTGGCATTCCTTTGTTATGACATATCTTCTCTCAAGTCCCCCCAAACCAACATGGACAGATGGTTCCTGGAAAACATTCCATCATAGGACATATTTGCAGATTACAAGACTTGTGTTCTAATTTAATTCTTTAAGAAAAAAATCTGACAAGAATCTTCCAACAATTCATGATAGACGATCCAAAAAAGTAACTATAACTGGAGGTTCGCAAAAGATTGAAGAAACACGAGTCGTTGATGTATATACAAGACGCTGATGTTCGATTCTTGGGAGCAAAATTTGAGGCATTTTCCTACTAATCCATACGTAAACTGATCCTTGCATTTTACAAATAAGAAATAAAGCATACTTCTCAGCCAATTAAAGATGCCTTTCGACTAGTGCTAACATCACGAGTTTTATAACACATACTCGCAGGCAAAGAGACAAAAGTATTCATTACAAGAAACAATTAAGGCTACCAATGATGATATGTTGGAAGTAACAATCTCATAACCTGCTTAAATTGAAATATGCATATATAATCACAACATTTTGTAGCATGACATCAGCTTACCTTGACCACTGTCATTTGCTCTACACACTATGAAAACGTACTTGAGGAGAGGTATTAGCGTAAGTGAATAGATAATCAATGAAAGAGCACCAATAATATCCTCTGTATCATCTATCCCATTGGGAAAAGTACTGTAGAATACGTACAATGGAGATGTTCCCAAGTCTCCATACACTACTCCCAGACTCTGGAATGCAAGCCGCAACAGAAATATAGACGAGAATTTCTGCATTAACAAAATCAAACTATGAAACATTACATCGAGATCCTCAATAAGATTGCCTCATTAGCTTCTGCCTCACTCTAGGACTAAAGCACATACGGATACCAAAAGAGTATCAAATAGTGCAGTGAAAATATTAGAAACACTATGATAAGCAGTCAATGGGTATACTGCTCGAATTTTTCAACCTGAAGAAAAGTAGAAAATAAAAATTGACTTCTG